TGCCTACTGTGGGAGAGTTGAAAAGAAAAGGAGAAGAAAACCACACCCTTAGTTTTTTACTCACGAATAACTGCTATTAACAATTTGGTGTATTTTCTATTAGTTTTTATTTCCGCTTAGATTTTTCAAGATTTTGTTTATATAGTTTGGGTAATATTGTATATGCCACCAAATACCCTTCTGTTATAACATAAGCATCCCCTAACATAAGATTATCAACAGAAACTTCATTTTTAACATCTGCTTAATATTTGCAATACTCAGTTCTCCTTTCTTACTTGCTAACAGAACTCAGGTTTGTTGTTTTGTTTTGTTTTTTGTTTTGTTTTGTTTTGTTTTTTTCAGGCAGTCAAGGGCTTCAGGGAAGGCTGGCTCCATTTCTATGCTTAGAAGATGACTTTTATTTAGTCTAAATCAATCATAGGATAATTCTATTGTCCTTGTCAGTAACCGGCTGAGGGAGGAGCAGGCTGACCTAATTTTGACCAATAAGCTATGAGGGCAAGTCTACAGGTTGGATTTTTTAAAACTATTTTATTGATTTATTTTGAGAGACAGAGCGAGAGAGAGAAAACGAGTGAGGGGAAGGGACGGAGGGAGAGGAAGAAGTAGACACACACATACACACACACACACACACACACACACACACACACACTGAGTGGGGAGACAGATAGAGGCTCAATTCCAGGACCCCGGATCAAGACCCGAGCGAGCAGAAGGCAGATGCTTAACCTACTGAGCCACCCAGGCAACCCTACAGGTTGGATTTATGCCAGATCCTTAGTTCTGAAAAAGTGATACAAGGAACAGATAAATCCTTTTTCTGCCCATGAAGTGTCTGTGAAAAGGAAGCACTAGAACGGGTGGTTGGAGCTGTTGGAACTATCTCGTGGCCATGAAGGGAGGCAGTTTACACACAAAGATGGAAGACAAGAGAAGTAAGAACTGGGCTCTGGATGATCTTGTCACTCCAATTAATTATACATCTCTGGACCCATCCTTGAGACTTCTTGTAATGTCAGAAAATAAATCCCCTATTGTGTAAGCCCCCTTTAGTCAGACTCTCTGTTTGCAATAGAAAGTTATACATAATAGTGGAGTATATGCCTAGTGTATAACTAGTATAATGCTATACATAATGGATACAGCATTATAATTTACCCAACAGTTTCCTATGTAGGCTATTTGTGTTACTTACAGTTTTTCACTATCATTTGTTGCCTTGGATAGTTATATAGAAAAAGTTATATAGCTTAGATGATAACACAATTTGTGTTGAGGGGGTCAAGCAATAAAGAAACAGGAATGAACTTGAAATAGCTCAGGTCATCAAAGCTGAATCATTCTGAATCTCCACTCCCTTTATTGCTCATTGCTGTCAGCAGAAGCGGCTGTCAGTGGAAAGTTACATTTCTGAAGAAAAAATTGGGAAATACAGTCTCAACATAATATATTAATAAAGGTGAACACAAATAATCCTCCAAAATACAGAAGTTATTCCTGTTCGCAATGTTATATGGTTTCATCAATTTTTTTTGTCTTTTATTATTATTATAATAATATGAAAATTACTTTGGAAATAGGAAAGTTAGCCCGTTATGCCATGGCAATACCCTTCTTGTATTAAAATTTGCTGTAGTTTCTCTTCTGTTTAATCCAAATGCATATAGTCTATCATGTTGACAGTATTCAAGAAGTAATGTCCTAAGTGTCTTCAGAATTAAAACTAGGGCCAGGGTACCTGACCGAACATGACTTAAGTGAAAAGGTTCAATGTCTATGCTAACATCTGACAAATGAACAGTAGAAGAAACTCCCAGTATATGTTTCTGATTTCATCGCTAGTAGTGACCAGGCCTATTTATAATTGAAAATTTTAGATTTGTTTGCTTTTTAAACATCTACTTGTCTTAGAGTTAAATTTTGGAAAGCTTCCTCATGTAAAAAGAGGATATGCCTGCGCAAAATAGCAATTTTAATTACTGCAATTAATTATAAAGCACTAGTACTCTGAAGACCTACATTTCAATACTAGCATCAATAAGTGCTCCTAACACACATTCATAATTTCACATTAGTAATTGATTACAATATAATAAATTTTAGATGTTATTTTTTAAAATCTCACACATGGATTGCAAAATAAGATTAAAGTCACAGCTCAATACTTAACTGCTGTACATGAAGTTCTTCAGCATTGTGGTTATGACTCGTGATATTTCCCATTCCTGGTCTCCAGCCAGGAGTATTGATTCATGAGTTGACCATGGTAGATGGTGTAAGGAAAACACAGGCTAATCTAAAACTCAAATAATGACTCTTCTCTAAACCAAACCAAACCAAACCAAAACAAAACAAAACAAAACAAAAACCCACCAAAAGAACCCTCAGTAGATTAATTTCATAAGCTACCAGATACCATTTCCCTTATGATACATTATAAGTTTTTCTCACTTAAGATTCATTTCCTGCGTACTTGAACATTCTAAAGAAGAAAACAAAACTCTGAATTTGGAGAGGAAGGAGCCCACTGTTCAAAAGTTCCCCTGAGATCATGACGACTTGTGGAAAGAGCGTGTTCACTTAGATCACTTTCTAAGTCTAGATGGATGCTGGCTATAAGAGAGCAGATTGAAGGGAGCTATTAAATTAAGCCCTGTTATAGATTTTTTAGAAGATTTTATTTTTTTATTTGGGAGAGAGAGCACCAGTTGAGGGGAGGGATAGAGGGAGAGAAGGAAGCAGACTTCCCGCTGATCAGGAGCCCCAAGTGGGGCTCCATCCCAGGACCCTGGGATCATGACCTGAGCTGAAGGCAGACACACTTAACTGACTGAGCCACCCAGGCAACCCTAGATGTTTAAGTTATCTAACTAGTCAAGATTCTAAAAGGTGTATTTGTTAAATTAATGACGGTATAAACAAATTCATGTTAACTTTTGAAATAGTGTGTATCTGGGAATAAGGAACTGCTTTCTCCAATTTATTTTTTCCTCATTCACTTCGGATTCCCATTTTTTCAACTAAAATAAATGCAGAGGAACCGTATTCTGGTTATTCTGATGTACATGTCCTTGTGACAGTGACTTCACGGATATGCCTGAGCTTGATAGCGAGCAGGGGTCTTTGATAATTGGACTGAACCCTGTGCAATGGAACTCTGCAGCGTGTAGTCAGTTGGGGTGGGTGGGGAAGCGAGACTGACTACATGGAAAATGCCTGCAGGATTAGGGGAGCTCTAGGGACAGTCAATGTGTAACCCTGCCCTAAAGTATTCAGATCTTCTGCGCCAAGGTGGGCAGGATCTTGAGAGAGTAGAGGTAGGGAGGTCACTGAGTTAATTCTGTACAAACACAAGAAAACAAACAAGAATTTCAGTCCTCTAAATACCACACACACATGCACCCTCACACTCCTTCCCTGCTCCCTCTCCTCGGTGAAGGTCTGGGCCCATCCCATGTTGAGAAATGCATTTGTGTGAGCATTAGACACACAGGCTTGGTGAGTGGACACTTTGTTGGAAAGAATACATCTCTCATGAGAAGCAGAAGTGACTTCCAGCCAGCTCCCCTGAGAACAGAGTAAGCATTGAATCTGGAACACTTTTTGAAATCTCTTTGTAAGTTGTACTGAAAAAGGCACTGGTGAAAAATTTGTGGAGTCTAGTCCTTAAATCCCCATGTACCGGGGTGCCTGGGTAGCTCAGTTGGTTAAAGCCTCTGCCTTTGGCTCAGGTCATGGTCTCAGGGTCCTGGGATCAAGCCCCACATTGGGCTCTCTGCTCAGTGGGGAGCCTGCTTCCTCCTCTCTCTCTCTCTCTCTCTCTCTCTGTCAGCCTTTCTGCCTACTTGTGATCTCTCTGTCAAATAAATAAATAAAAATCTTAAAAAAAAAAAAAAGTAAATCCCCAGGTACCGTTCTGGAGAATTCTAAAGTACAAACATAGGACGTGTTACCCTAAACATAAACATGCCATCCAACACAAATATAAAAATGAAAAAAAAAAATCCGAGAGTACCTAATTCACCCTTTTGTTCAGTATTAAGCCTGTGAGTACCTACTAGGCTACTGGGCCACGGGTTCCTCTGATGTTCTTCCTTTAATTCTAGTTATTTCCCTTCCAGCCTCTGCCTAGTACTACAGTTTATCTGTGTCCAAAACCTTCCACCTAAATCCTATCCAGGTTGTCTGTCATGATATTAGTGTCACATTCCCCAGGAACCATCTGGGAAAGGTTGAAATGCCTCAGAAGATTATTATATGCTTGCCATGAGTTCTATACAGAGTACCTATACTTCTGGCATTTTCCCAGGGGTTGAAGGCCAACCAGTGACAAGAGACTTTGCAAGTGACCCAACTCACTTTGCTTTGCAGAGAATGCTGAACCTTCTAGAAGAAAGCATCTCCATCCTAGGAAAAAAATATTTTCACAGCTAAGTAGTTCCTCTTTTCTCCTCTTATCTGCTATCTTCTGAAGGTTGTACCTTCCTGCATTCTTCTATAGGAGGATTATTAGGCTTCTCTCCTGAAACCAGGATAAAGTCTCTGTCTATAGTGCTAAATCATAGTGTTCAAAGTCTAATGGTAAGAGAAGCTGTCCACCGTAAACTTTGACACTAGGTCAGGGACTTTTCTCACCTTGTGCTTTCAGGCAGGGCAGTCTTGGAGTTGGGTGCTATTAACAATGATCATTATATTGTTTTTATCTGAAGGAATAATCCACAAAGAATTAGAATAAACAAAAGGGAATAAAACCTTAAGGGTATCAATTTTAATATTTTCAAAAAACAAAAATTCCAATTCCAAACCATCTAATTCCAAAATGCCACAATACAGAGAGGGAAGAGCTGAAGCTTCAGTAAAAGAATTGTGAAAAGTCTTACTTTAAAAACTTAGGGATAGAGAACACCCTCTATACTGAATATTGGAGGCATCCTACTCTTCCAGAACCCAGAGGAGAAGCAGCAGTTAAATAGCAAGACACTTTTGCCGAAGTGTTGAAACAAACAAGGAGTTTTATTTTGGAAATACACTCTTTAAAGATAAATTTGGCTTCCATTTTCCATACCTAGGTGCATCCAACAAGATACAAAAACAAACAAAACAACAAAACAAAGACCCACGACATTATGTACAGAGCTCTAAAATGAGCTGTGAATATCTACAAGAACTAGCATATGCTCTTTGTGAAGGGATGTACTTGTGTGGCTTTCTACAGTTCTCAGTCCTCGAGAAGAAGGGTTAACTCCCCGGGGCTGCAGGTGTGGCTGCAGCAGGGGAAGAGCTGGGGTCTGTAAGGGGTTGGGGGGCGCAACCCCTGGGTGGGAGGCGTGGAGAGGTGTCTGGGGAGGGGAGCAGCGGCGGCATGGGACACATCCTGGGCTTCTCTAGAAGTCCTGCCGCGGGGTGTGAGTCAGGCTGTGCCGCCGCAGATCACAGTTTCGCCTGAACACTTTGCCGCACTGCTCGCAGCTGTAGGGCTTGATGTCTGTATGGGTGAGAAGGTGAGTTTTCAGATTACTTCTCTGATTAAAGGTTCTTCCACATGTGGGACATTTGTGTGGAGATTCCTGTTCAGATGTGAAGCAAGCAAAGGATTAATCCTTCACACCACCACCGCACCCTTCTCAATAGTTTCTGTCTTATCGGTATCACAAGCGTTAACATAACACACGCACCACAACAAAAGAGAGGACTTGCAGGAACAAATCTGGCTCCTAATCCTCCAATCTCAAAAACACACGCGCAGGCACACACAAGGGCCCCGATTACACTGATAACTGCTGGTGGCCACCCCGGTGGGCTTTGTGATTTCCAGGTCTTTACATTTCATCACCGTGTCACAGGCAGGAAAAGGAGGAAGGAAAAACTCTAATCCTCTCTTAAGGAATGACATTCTCCCAGGCAATAAGGCTCCTCTTTGCTGGAAAATTAAACTATTCCTCAATGTTCAGAAAACTACAAATTATGAGGCCCCTGGGAGAAAGAGCATATGGGATTTCACCATGCCTCCATTATCAAAATTACCTTTATTTCCTCCCAAACACGAAAGCTTTAAATGCAGGGCAGATCAGATGGGGAAAAAAATTAATTCTAAAATTAGGATTTAGAATACAGAGAATGGCCTTTTCTTTAAGAAAAATATAATCATGTTTTGTGTTAAGTAAGATTAACTTTGGGGGGGGGATTATAAAAAAGTTGAGTGCTGTTTTCCCCACCTAGAAAACTAAATCTAAACAGAGCCTTTTAAGAGAAAGAGCCTGCCACGAAACACCTTTGTAAGGAGAAAAAAAATCATAAAACAAAACCAGCCATTGTCTTTAAACAAGAAAACAAACTTACCTGCATGTGTAAAGTTTTGTGAACTGCTAGAGTTCTAGACTGACAAAATCCTTTCCCACACTCCTGACATTTGAAAGGTTTTTCTTTGGAATGGATATACCTGTAAATCAATATAAGGTTTCATTGAAATGGTTTTATGACCACGGTGAGGAGTTTCTTTTGACAGTTACTTAAGAGGAAGTTGTGAAAAGACAAAAGAAACGGGAGTCCCATTATTTATGTTTTCAGATTGTGTTTTTTACCCCCTGTGTAATTCTGTTTATGGTTAACCTCAACTAACAGATTCTTCCAAACATTCACCGGAGGCTGGCTTTATCTACACTTGATCGCCCTCTCTGGCTGTATTCTGGAGCTCAAAATCCTGCTGAATGTGTCCTTCCTGGTCTCTTCGGCTTTCTTTGGTACTTAAACTGGCCAAATCAGGACGTTAGGCAAGGTCGAATTCAGGGCAACTGATTTTAGCAAATCCCTAAATAGCCATGGAAGATCCCAACAGAAGTCCTAACCCTGTGGAACAGCAGGCAGAGTCCAGAGAGAAGATAAACCAGCCCTTCTTCTGGGAGGTTTTCACCCGATGAAAACACTTACGTTATAGTATTTCTTCAGTTGCCGTTTAGGAATGCAGAGTTTAAGGTCGTGGAAGGGTTGTGGGGAGCTGTTTCTAAATTCAGTGATCTCAAGACCCTCATAAATAAAATAAAGTTTGCCTTGGCAGGCTCTGGGGTGCCTCTGGGCGTGGGGAGACAGTGAAGGGACAGAACCCCGTGAAGGTGGCCTGAGAGCATTAGAAATGGTCTGACTGCAACCCGGACTAATACCCACCATGGGGAGGTCTTTGGGGTCCCTGGGCTGTACCCGCTCCACCTCCCCAACAGCAACTGGGAGAAAACTGGGAAACAGATCTCAGGACCAAGGCTAACCCACAAGATTGCAACTGCCCAAGGATGAGAAAAGGCCCTCCCGCATTCCAAACAAGGACGCCGGTAAGAGACGGCAGGGAGAAGGTAAAGGTTGGGGGTTAGTTGTAGCTGGCCGGGGAGGGCCTTTGGGGATATAGTCTAGTTCAGAGGGGATTTTAGTGACCCCTGGAATGTCTCTCAGGACTCAGTACTCTGGACAAAGTCCTTTTCCCTTCCGAGGCCAACCTCTTTCCCCACCTCACCTGTGATCCCGCAGGTGATCTTGCCTCCGGAAGGCCTTGTGGCAGATGTCACACGTGTATGGCCTCTCATCCGTGTGGGTCCTCTCGTGGATGAGCAAGTTGTAGGATTTGGTAAAGTGTCTGCCGCAAAACTTGCAGATAAACTCTTTTTTCGTTTTGGAGGGCAACCTCCCTCGGGAGGGCTTTCTGTCCGGAGTCAATTTACTGAGCCCCGAGATGGGGCTACCCAGCCCCGGGCTCAGCTTGGTCAGGTCTCCCATCTTAGGGGGATCCTCTTGCGTGGCGGCCACCGCCAAGTTGGCAAAGTCAAAACGGGGCCGGTCCTTGTGCAGGGCTGGGAGGACGTGGGCAATGGCTCCCTGCTTGGGGTGGAAGAGGTGGGTGGTAAAGGGCAGAGCCGGGAAAGGGAATCGTGCGTCCACGAGGCCCTGCGCCGCCGCCATCTCGGTGATGGTGGAGCGGGTGATCTCGTGCACGTTGGGGTACCCCAGTGTCCAGTGGTTCATGTGCATGGTCTGCACGGCGCTGAGACCGTACAGGCCCTGCAGGTGGTCCACCGCGGCGGGGAAGGTGTTCACGGCCTGCAGGAAGGAGTAATTGGTGAGCTGCAGCGACGGGTGGAGTGGGATGGGCGCCGGCAGGGCCTTGCTCCCCATTCTCCCGGCTGTTGGGGGGCGGAGGGAACCGCCCCTTTCTTCCAGGACTCGGAGGCAGGTGGGCGTGGGGCTCCGGTGAAAACCCAGAGAGGCAACAGCACGCAGAGCAAACCCTAAAAATGGCAGGGGAAGAGAGGGAGAGTTGTGACTATTATCTAAGCCCCCTGGGCCCACCCTTTGGTGCCAAGGGTTACCACACCTTCCTTCAAAGTCTTCCTCCCCACTCTACTCCAGGGTCCCCAAAAGGAGTGGTGAGGGAACGGCAAGAGTGCCTGCCAGGCGAGTCTGCACCGAGCTCGGCCCCGGGGCCAGGGTGTCAGACGCGGCAGGAAGTGGCCTTCTGGCGAGCGGGTGTCCCGCGCCCCAGCAGCCTTTATGTGGGCGCCCACAGGAAGGTCGGAATGCCAGCACGCAAGGAACGGAAGACCCGGGCCTCAGGAGAAAGAAAGGTGGGGGGGGGGGGACGGGGGAGGAGTCCTGCAGCAGAAGCAGCACCCACTTCACCCCAACCACCCCACCCTGTGCGGAGAAGCTCGGGCAAATCCGACGGCCGAGACGCCAGCACCTGCAGGCCTGCGGCCGAGTGTCTGTTGCCGGGGTGCTTCCGAGCTCCCCGGGGAACGACGCGGAGGGTCCCTCCTAGCCGCGGTGCGGCTGCTCCTCCTGCGGCGCCCCCAGCCCGCTGCCCCGCCCCGTGGTCGCCTTTCCCGCGCTTACCCCCGCCACGCCGCGGGTGCCAGAGGGTACCCCCTGTGCGCTCTGTGCTGCAGGGCCCTCGGGCCCTCGGAGGGGCCAGTCTCGCCCCGCGCTGACCTCGGAGGTTTTCTTTTTCCTTCCCCTGCCTCAGTCCCATTTATCAGCGGTGACGGGCCGCAGGAAAGAAAAGTGACACCTCGGGGGCCGGGTTCAGCCTGGAATTGCCCCCTCCTCCTTCCCAGGGGCCGTTCCCTCCCACCCCCCACCAAGATCCCTTCCAGATGGTTCAGTCTCCCAGGGGGTGAGTTGCGGTGGTGGGGAATAGGGGTGGGTGGGCGGAGAACCTCCCTGAGGCCCGAACCCCTTCTCCCAGACTGAGCGCCAAGCTCTCCGGAGGCCGGAGAGGCTTCCCAGCCTGGCATTAGGAGCCGCTCCTGCACAGGCGAGGCCTCCGGGGAAGAGCAGAGAGGAGTGGAGGGGAGAGTAGGCTCCCTGAGGAGGCACAGGAAAGGGGCATCCGGTGAGCCACAGCGATAGTTCGAGCAGGTACAATGCGTCTTCGACCGCCAGGAGGAGGGTCGTTTATCTGCTCGGAGACGTGGGCAGCCTGGGGCCTAAGCAGAGTGCAAGCACTCGCATCTCTCTGCCCCCCAAATAACAACAGAGAGGTCTGATTTCAGACCCAGGTTCCCCAGGACACCTCACCTGCATTCAGGGTGGGCCCACCTTTGCCCACTTCAGCTGCCTTTTAGCAATGGTTCTGCCAGCGCTGCCGACCTGGGCCTTGCTTCTGAGGGCAGCTCCCCAGGTGCGGGACTCACAGCTAAGTGCTTTCTCTGGAAAGGGGCCGGCAGGCCGGTTAGAGCCAACGGCCTTTCAGTCTGGCTTTTGAACCCAGCGGGAAGCTGGGAAGGTTTGTCCAGTCTCTAACCCTCATCACCTACCCCTTTACATGTCTGAATCTTCTATAGGGCGCTGTGAAGTGTTGCCCGGGGCTCCTAGGGCTGACTTGGGGGACCGTGCTAATGACACAGCGCTCTGACAAAGCAGAATTTGGTAGTCTCAGTGAGGCTCACATCTTCTCTCCCTCCTCTTCTGTTTGGAATGCTCAGAGACTGGGGTTTATTAATGAACCGCTTCTGCCTGGTGGTATTTGGTCTGGGAGTTCAGACTGGGAGTTAATGAGAGGTGTGTAACAGTCAGAGGGGCTCAGTCGGACCATTCAACCGAAACTGTAAACCTCCATTAGTAATAAACTTTCCCACCACAAATCACGATTCATTTTTGTTCAGTGGCAACCCTCAAGCCCTCCTAGAAAGGCAGGGGAAAAAAAGGTACCAACATTCCTGGTAATCTATCTGTTTATTTCCTCTTCCATCAAAAATAATAAGTTATGCTTTTATTTCCTTCTTTTTGTGTAATGAGGATTTTCCAGAGAGTCAAAATATTATCTTCTCCCTAGAGTTAAAAAGTGGTCTCCCCCATAGAGAGGAAACTGAAATTAATATTTGGGTGTATTCCCAGGCTAGATTTCTTAGAAATAAATACAGGAGGCAAAGTATGACTCCTACCTCTGTTATGGGGGGGTGGGGAGAGAGGGTGTCAATTGGAGGACTATCCCACCTGTGATCTCCATTTTACGTGCACAAAGTGAAATCTGCCCTAAACGTTACATGTTAATTCTGCCAGCAGAAATTTGAGTGCCATCTCCCTTCCCTTTTCTTCAAATGGTTTATAACACAAAAATTAGCAACTCTATTACAGTTCAGCTCAAAGTGGCACAAAAGTGTATCTCATAGTAAGTTCTCATTTTAATTTGCAAGACAGAGATCTTCTTCATAGAGGAACAGCAAACCATTGGTGACTTCACCGCTTTTAGAAATAGAACAACTCTAAATATTCACCAAACACTTTTGCCATAAATAATTACAGAATTTAGATTTCCACTCTTCCACTGAGTTGCTGGAAATGTATGTCAAAAGATATTTTAAGTCCATGCAAAAGATCTAAAGTACTTTCGTTTTGTCTAGAGTTGAGCATGTAATTCCCACACTGAGTTTCAGGCAATAACAGCAGTCATCATCCTTTGCTGTCAATTCTCCGCTACCCCTTTTCGGACCATTGGTTACTTTTAATTTTACAAGGAAAGAACCAATGAAGACATTAATATTTCGGTGGAACTGAGACTAGTTTTCTTTCATCAGTCTTCTTCACAGGGATTTCCAGGCATGTACAGAAGTTTTGTAAAATTTAGTTCACTGGTTGTCAACAAGTTAAAAAAAAAGTGTACATAACTAATTTCAGTTCAGTGAAGCTTTCAAAACATTGGAGAAAAAAAAAGGTACGCGGTAATTTGATAGAGTATTGCTCTTTGGTAATGCTGTTATTACACTGAGTTGTCTAAAAATAATATACAGTCAGGGGTCATCTGCTAAAACCTGTGTGTTGGTGTGAGAGAAATGACTGATGGATCCATAGACTCGCTGAATTTCAGCCCAAGCCACGGTGGAATGTTGCATAAATCAGAGCGAAAGTCTTAGTAGATATAAGGAGATCATTTAAAAAGCAATAATGATGGCCAGCTTGGATCAGGTGAACAGAGGAAAACGGCCGCGAAGTTCCTGCCCCTTCGCAGCGCCTCTGCCTTCCCAAGGAGTTAATTAAATTAAGATGCCTTCCGCATAATCTGGGTTCTGTTTCTCTCAGCTCCCTCGCTCCCCCTGCGTGAGTAATTTTCTAGTTCTGCTCGGGACTGCAGTTCGTTCAACAGAGAAAGTAGCTGTCTGTGCCGTTTCGCTGCGGGAAGCGCCAACCCTCTTTTGTTCTCTGCTAACAGGTAGGGAGACAGATCTCGCGCTCCCTCCACAAACACCTTTTTCTCCCTCCTTCCTGCAACCACCAGTCCTTTCTCTGTAGCTCTTACTCGAGAATCTAAGCGTTTAAACCCCAGGGGAATTTGCCTTCTACATCCCCCCCCCCCATCCTTCGCCCTAGGTCTGGAGGGTAGCAGGGGGAAATCAAAAGGCCAGCAACAAAGTTGGAGAAATTACCTAGGTCTGAACTATTATTACTTCCTTCTTGAAACGCGCGGGCTAGGCAGGCAGTATGAGCCCCGGCGCGTTGGCGCTGCGCTGCGCTGCCACGGTTGCCCCGGGACCGGTGGACCAGGAATACTACGGCCCCGTCGGAAACACCACGGGATCGGGGGGGTTTTATCTCAGCGTACGTCGATCAGCTTTTATAAGAAGCCTTTCTGAATGCTTAGATTAAATGTCGCAAAACAAAACTAAAAACAGTACATAAAAGTGTGTGTCCTTAAGTGTTAGGAGGGAGTGGAGTGCGGGGGATCCGATACAGTGAGAAACACAATGCCCCAAGGTTGCATCCTTATGATTTCTTTTCACAATTTCTGAACGTGCGGCACGCCTGACCGAGAATCTGAGTGTCCCCTGCACCCCCTGCACCCTTTCTTCCTTAAGGCGGCTGCAGCTCCTTCCCAGAGCGGACACTCACCTCCCTCTGAAGGGTCCGCCCGGGCAGTGCCGATCAGACCCGGCCCAGGTGGTGAGGCGCGGAGCTCGGAAAGGTCATGGGGTCCACGCGGGGCAAACTTCTTTTTCCGAGCGGAATCCCGGGAGCCGCGGACATGATCTGGAGGACGGCGAGCAGCAAAAGCGAGAGCGGATCCCAGCCTTCGTCTGGGTCTGTGGACGTGGAGTTGGTAAAGCTCGGGGGTTGTTGGAGCCGAAGCTCAGCGCTCGCCCGGAACCCCGCGCCTCCGCGAGCCTCTCGCCGCCGACTCCGGGTAAGGTCGGAGCCTGCAGTCTCGCAGGGCCATCACCCTCCAGCAGCGAGCACTCCGAGCTCTGTCCCCGCCCGCGTCCCTCCCCAGGCTGCTCGCGGCCAGGAGTCCCGGGCTTTAGTAGCAGCCCCGCCTCCCCTTCGCGCGGGCGTCCTGCGGCAGCGCGGGGCCCACGGAGCCTGGCTCCGCCTCCGCGCCCGGCGCCCGCTAATGGTCCACTCTGTTTACTTGTGTTTGGATAGCAACTGAGTCTTAAAGGCACAGGTTTCCTCGAGGTTTCCCTGCTCCAGAGATGAGCCGAAGGTGACTCAGTTCAAAACTCACACATAAGCAAAGCCCACCCCCTTTTCCTTCTCGGTGCCACTTTTCCTTATACTGTTAGAAACTGAACAGCGGGTTCTCTGCTTCCTGAAGACCCTGCAGAGAAACCCAAAGAGCATTTTGTAGTCTTATTTGACGCTCTCGCCAGATAAATTTCCACATCTTAACACGTTTAATATAACCATATTTTTCGTAAAGTCAATCAGTGCTAGACTGGATTCTCCAAAATGTATCACATTTCCCTCAATTTTAAATACAGCTTTGTACATACTTTTTGTCAATTATGACTATATCTGTAGTCTGCTTTTGTTTGCTGTTTTCAAAACGAAGTTTGTTTTTAGAGGTGACAATTGACTAATTCCGTAATTACTGCAAAGACATACGTGGGATGCCCCAGAAGAAATTTCTTCCAACATTTATGGTTTAATCAGTCAAAGTACATTTTATAAGCAGTAAACCAACTTGGTCAAAGGGTGGGCATCTGCAACCCATTGGCAAACAATAAAGACTCCATCTGGAATGGGTGAAGAACAGTCATTTTAAAATTTTAGGAAAATTCTATTGTAGCTTCTCAAACATGTCCATCTTCATTCCCAATCCAAAACAAAAAAACAAAAACAAAAACAAAAAAGAAACACTTCATTGGTCAGTCAAAGGTAATCGAATGGATACATTTTACAGGTTCTTCTAAAGGCTTGGTCCTGTGGAAGTCTAACTGCAGAACGCACTTCAGCTACGCTGTAAATAGGGTGATCAAGTGACAGAAAGGGAATGACAGAATCATTTAACAGCCTCTTTCCAGATGAGATCTGAGAGAACATTGAGCTAAACTCCCTTCGTCCCAGACGAGTCACCAGAGGGGATTTGCGTTAACCCCTGGCAAGTTCACGCTTTGAGGGGCGCAAATCATCCAGCTAAAATGCTGTACAATATAAGTGTTCCGTCAAAAGATGGTTTTGGATGTGCAGCCCCCAAGGACAATTAAAATAATCTCATCGTGCGGGGTTAGTGGATGAATATAAGCAGAAGACTAAAACTTGTCAAAAGGTTAACCAGTGACTTCTGAGCCAAGCAGAAGCTACGAGATATTATTTTATTAATATACAATTCCTTCTATTTTACTTATGCCCAGATGGATAGAATTTTTCGTTCCTTTGGTAAAAGGTAATACAGGGATTGTAGATCTTTTTTTTTTTTTCCTTTCTTTCCAATTTCAGTTCTCGAAGGTTAAAAAGTGAGCTTGGGATGGAGACCCCAGTGTTTAATATATTTCAATATTTAAATGCTTAAAAAGTAGATTTGACAAACGGTATGGAAGTAGCAGAATGCCTAAGATTTCAGGGGTTTCAAAAAACAAAACAAAACAGGTTTTCCCTATTGGGTTCTGTAGGGGTGCTTTCATTTCAGCGCTCAGTCCTGAGCTCCAACTACCGGGATGCCTGTGGTCCCCTCTCTCTAACCACCTCATTCCTTCCGCAGCTTTTCTCAATTTGGAAAATTTGGAGGGAACTTTCTCTTCTTTCAGATCCCTAGGACACACACTCCCGGGGTGGTGACCTGAAGAGTGTTTCTACGCTTCGTATTTCCTCTTCCAAAGTGGAAGCAACTCCCCAGCGGCAGGTTTCACACCTTCCCACCCTGTACGTGTGTGCGCGAGGAACCGTCTTTTTCCTGCTGGGTGGACAGAATTTCCAACCACGCACGATCTGCACCCTCTTTCCGCAAACCTTCTGAGCCCAGGTTTTTTCATAAACGTGTTTGCCTCGCCCACCCCCGCTTGCCAAGGTCAACAATGGAGTCTGGGCTATGTTGGCCCGAGGGCTGCTGTCGCTTGAAAGGTAGGAAAGAGTCCACGAGTTCCGGGCTTTGGGGCGGGTAGCACCTCTGCAGCCTCCAGGCCCGCACCCGGCAGGTGCGCGCCTCAGGCCCGGACGGAGCCTGAGGCTGAGATCCTCGCGGCACTGTACGCAGGGCTTCTCCCGCCACCTCCGCACCCACCTCGGGCGGGCCCTTGAGTTTCTCCAGGCTCAGCCCCGGCGAGCCCCTTGCTCACCCCGGCGTCTAGAGCGCACTCATTGTGGCGCCCACCCAGGAGTAGCCTCACCCGCCGGACTCCCCCAGAGACAACGCTCCGCTGGAAAGATAGGCCACCCGGCCCACGGCGAGTTGTGGGGTCAGGGTGTGTGGAGAGGGAAATCCTGGGAGCCTATAGCGGCCCAGCTGCTGCCGGGGATCTGCATCTCTGCTGCAGCCGTCCCACTCCCTCCGCGACCCCCCCACCCCCCGGGAGCTGCGCCGCCGCTTCACTCTGACATTTCCGCGGCCACGGTCATCTGCTGTCCTCGCTCTGAGTTCTGGGTTTTCGACACCAAGGACGCTTCCAGGGAAATGGCTAACAGACTGACGAGAGGCGCGGGAACAGTTGCTGTTCCAAGCCGAACTGCCGAAAGTTTCCGCCCCCGGAGGACGGGGTGAAGGCCCGAGAGAGGAAGCGCGGAGCTGGAGGAGGAGGGGTCCGACAGAGTAGGCCCCTTTCGCCCGCGCCCTGGCCCACCCAGGAGGCTCTGCCAGTTGAGCAACGAGCAGGTGTCTGACAACAGGCTTCTTGCAGATGATTCCGAATCTCTCCCACTCTGCGCGCTGCGGTTATCCCAAAAATGTTTACCCTTTAAGACACAAATGATGAAAACCCCATCTTTTTCACCAGGGATTTCAGCTGCCGTTATTTCTGAGGGCTTGCCTCCTTTTCCCCTAGCCTTCCTCAGGCTCTTTAGGGCGGGGACCCTGTGCATTTGAACCTCCAGCACGGTTTGCCGCTTTTCCTAGATCCCGGAGGAGCTAGAAGCCCAGCTCTTCCCTGGGCGTGTGTTCTGCAGGCCGGGAGTAGAGACGAGGCCCGTGAAAAACTAGAGGAGGATCGCGGGCACTGGTCTCAGAACTGAGGGTGTGGAACAGGAACCAAAAGACTAAGAATTTTATCTTTTAGAGAAGTATGTTCCAGTGGGCGCGGTACGCTGGGATGGGATGGGAAAGCGCGGCCGCCGGCAGAGCTCCGCGGGCCGCGGGAAGAGCCGCAGCGCCCCCTGGAGGCAAGTGCCGAGCACTACCCGGCGCAGGCGCCGGGGGCGGTCACAGGCAGCCGGCTCCGCGGTGTGAGTGCGTAGCCGTCCAGCTACCCCGCGGGCGGTTGGATTCCTTCACCTCGTCCTGGGCCCCTTTGCTGCGGATGCAGAGTCCTGAGCGCTGCAGGGTTGCTGGAGAGAAGGCCTTGGCCTGCTGTCAGGGACAACAAGCCCCTCTACCTCCACCGTTGGGGCCTTGATGAGGGCCCCCCCCCGCCCCCACAGAGACTTCTCGCCTGGCGGAATTTTCCAAGGCGAGTTTTCGGACTCAACGCGCCGCTCCGGGAGACTCTGGCTTTTGCGGGCAGGGAAAGATCCCAGTTCTGACCCCGGCGCAGGGAGTTCAAGAGCGGTCCGGCGCTCATACCTCAGATTCCAGCAGATTCCAAGGCCTCGGACACTGTCCCTGTGGGAGAGGCAAGAGAGGTTTCTCTGGGGGCCGTGTTAGGAAAGCTGACCCACCCCCCTACTACTTACGCTTCCTCCTACCCCATCTTTTGAAGCCCTGTCGGGAATGGGTCTCCTGGACCCGCCATGCTCTCCTTAAGCCCGAAAGCGAGAAGAGGCGTGTGGCGAGGCGCCGGGATCGCGCGCGAGCCTTGCGGGGGCGGAGCGGTGGGGGGACCTGAGGACCCCCTCGCCGCTTCCAGCCATCCAATCCCTGGGCCCAGCCACCTCCTGAATGGACCCAGGCGGCTCAGCCTCAGGCACCAGAGGCCGGCCCAGCTTTGCGGGGCTCTTCCCTGGAGGCAGGAGGGTGAGGGATGCGTACTGGGCTCACTGGCGCTCTCCTGGCGCCTGTGCACCGCTGGCCTTCACTCAGCGGGAGGCCGCAGCCACCAACTTGCGTGGCAGCAAGGGGGGCAGCTGCCTGCGAAGGCCTTGGACCGGGTCGGAAGGTTAGCCGTGGGGCCACAGCAGGGGTGGGCAAGCCCAGGGACAGACCATCCTGGAAGCCTGGGTCCCTTCGGTGTTTGGCTTTCCCGAGGGCCGAAGCAGCAAGGCCCAGCGCGGAGTCCAGGCAGCCCCGCGATCCACCGCCCCTCTAGAGTCGCGTGATACTGCGAAGGCCCTGGCGCTGGAGAACTGCTCCGCGTCTTCAGGCTGCGCGGAGTCCCGAGAGGTGTCGTGGGCGGGGGCGGCGGTGGTTGGCAGAGGCCGGCAGCAGCGCGTGCTGGCACTGGCACGTGCTGGGCGTGAGTGGAGCTCCGAGGCCCTGAGGCAGGCGCCTCCAGCCAAGGGCACCGGCTTAGGCTCCCAGGATAGCGGGGACTGGGCGCTCTCCGCTCTGGGGGACGCCCCCACCCCCGCGTCCCCTAGAAGCGGATCTCCTGCAGTTCGCCTCAAAAGAGAAAGCCAGGTCAAGTCGTATGCTTCCGAAGGACAGCTTTGACTTCAAGGTGATTTTCTAACGGAGCCCGTTGGTGTTCGTGACTAAAGGAATCTAAGCATCGGAGGACAAGACCCAGGAGCTTCCCAAGAGGGAGGACCCTGTGGCTGGTG